GCCCCACTCAGGTATGTTTAAAATCATATCCTTCCATTCTTGGATAAAAAATAAATTTCTTTATTACAGTTTTTGTAATTCTTTCTCAAATATACGTGTATATTAAAAAAAAATAGCTTTATTGTATGAGTAGCGTCTGCCTTTTATGTCACTAACCAAAGAATAGATAGAGAGATATTGTGAGTCGAAATCAAATCGTGTGAAATTTACAATTAAAAAATTTTTCTTTATTTTAAGTTTTGCAAAAAAAATTATGTGGTGGAACAAAACAGTACAATTTTCACATAGTGCATAATAATAATAATTGGTCATATGTCTTCGCTTATTAACGTGCTGATCCTTTAATTCTTATATATACATAATACCACTTAAGGATATAATAACCTTATTCGTAAGCATCCTAATGATATATTAATATAAATAGATCTTATCCTGTAGTTTAATATAATAAATAGACAAATTATGACAAAGTATTCATCATTCTTATACTGCAACAAATGCGAACGTGTCAACTTGTCGATCAGACGTGTAAGTTCAGAATGCAAAAATAAATTAATGCTTGGGTTTCGGAGCTAATATGAAATTAAACCGCTGCAAATAAAATCACAGATACTACTATCTTTACTAGAAATAATGACAGTGTTGTTATTGGTACTTTAACCGCTGAAAAGTTTTAAAATGTGAGTTGTTTATTCGCTCTACTCTTTATCATTAAATTATTTATTATTTGTTTAATTTGGACCAAAAATAAATTAAAGGACATTTATTCTTTGAATTTTACGGATTTTAATAATCAATGATCCACGTACAAAATGTATCAACTACATATTCACATGTCTAGCACAACCAAAATTTTAAAGTTAATTTGGTAAAGTATGTGTGTAATTAAAAAAAAAATTCGCCATTTACCTAAAAGGAAATCAATATATTAAAATGTGGCTTATAGTTGATACGTCATTTAAATTATTTTTGTTAATGGAGAAGATTATTTAATAGGAATTTTAATTTGATTTGGAGTGGCTTCGTCGCTGAGCAGTACAAATAAAGAAATTTGTATAATTAAACAATTTATTGCATAATAAGTAATGGGAAAAACAAAAGTCAAATTTGCAGCGAATAGTTCTCTGCATTTTTGCAACTAGCAGTGCCATTACAAGGGTATTTCGCCCGAGGCTGGCTGAAATCATGACTATTATAACATTTATTTATAATTATAAAAAACATTATTATAAAAATATTAAATGCATATAAACAATAAATAGGGAGTGAATTTTAAAATTTATTTTTACACGAACAAGGATTTGCCGCGATAAAAAAAAAACCAGGACAAATGACAACTTGTAAAATGTTTTTTCAGTACAATAATGAAAATGACTTTCTTAAAACAAAAATTTCTATATCGTTTTTGTGGTGATCTTTATTATATTGACTAAATACTAAAGATCAAACCAAATGGTTTTGGGAAATGACTTTTGTTTATTTGCGAGATATTTTCTATGCTTGAATCATCAAATAAATCATCTGTATTAATTACCCACCACTAAATGAAAACTTCCCAAAAAATTAGGTTTGAAAAACAGTGATTTTTTACCAATTGGTTTCTCACGTAAGTCCAGATGTTCCGAAAACTTCAAATTGTAAGACAGATTTTCAAAAAAGAAATTCAAATAATTTAGCGAATGAAAAAACGTGACTCCACACACAAACAAAAAGACGATTGTCCTATTTTCGGAGTTATGATTTTTCTAGATAGATATGAATTTTAACAAAATAACAAGTTTTATTATTAAATGCATCAATTCCTTCATTGTTTAAAAATTTTATATTTGTGATACAAGAGGGCATTATTAGAATTAAAATAATGGGTAATATATACAAAAAATATTATTTCTGTATTTTAAAATTAATTGTCGTGTAACGCGCGTTATTCTCGAATAAATAAAATCAGCTGTTCTAATATATACTAATGCTTTTAGATCTCGCGCAGCTAAAAATTTAAATGATACGTACCAATAAACCTAATAGACTTTATATTCGTGTAGAAATATGACGAAGCCGTGTTTTTTCCGATTATCAAATATTAGATATCACAAATTACATAATTATTCATATTAATAGTTGATAAAAATAAAACAAATAAATATGCATTTATTTTATTTGGTTGATTTTAATTTCATTGCCTGCCGTTAGTTATAAATACAAGATACCCAAGCTTCCTGGAAAAAAAAAATCAGATTCTTTTTTTTCTAATAAATATAATTAATATTCTTTCTCAAAGTAAATTAAATAATAAAAATTGTTAAATCAATATATTATAACCTCCATAAATTATAAACATTCTTTCTTTTCAACTTCTATAATAACTTTTAAAATTTTGTTTAAATTTTAATTATTTTGTCGATTTAATTTCTGATTTAATTTGAGGGAAACCTTTCGGATAAAACGTTCCTTATAGTAGAAATTTCACGTGAGGTTGCTGGTGAATAAAGATTTGGAAGTAAAGAATATAACAAAAATTTATTTTAGAATTTTGGCAAAGAAAATTGGAAAATGCCACCACCACCACCACCGTCGTCGTCGTCGTCGTCATCGTCATCGTCATCGTCATCATCGTCGTCATCATCGCTAATTGACCATCAACAATATATAGATAACGATGACAAGAATACTATCGCTAATATAACTAATATGAATATGATGGATATTAAGAATGATAAGATTAGAACGAATGAATCAACAACAATAGCAACATTTGTTTTACATCCAAATGTTATTCAGGCTATAAAAGATAAATCTCCAGATGATGAACATTTCGATAGTGTTAGACATTTTTATTTTGGTGAAAAACAACCTGGTTGTGTCAACCAATATGCTAACGACTTTTAATCACAAAAAGTAGTATTTTTGTGCCGAAGGAAGACATATGAATAATGTTAAATATTTTATTTAAAAATTAATATAGTTTAGTGTAATAATATGTATTCAAAGCTGTTCCGTTCCTGGAACAATTTTAAGCCAGAACGATAATTTTATGCGGGAATAAACTATCAATTATGTACAAATGTTTTTTAAATTATATACCAAAA